AAGCCACTGCTAAGGAAACCGCTAAGTTCCTATATGAAACTATTATTTGTCAACATGGAACTCCCTCAATAATATTATCCGATAGAGGAACTCATTTTGTAAATGAAACAATTAAATTAATGAAAGAGGAAGTAGGATTCAGACATAAACTTTCCTCTGCTTACCATCCCCAAACAAATGGATTAACGGAACGATTCAATGGTACCTTATGCAGGTCTCTTGCTAAAAGCTTACAGACCAGTGAATCCAATTGGGATGAATTAATTCCTAGTATTTTATTTGCATATAGAACATTAAAACAAGAATCTACAAAATATACTCCTTTTTATCTCGTACATGGTAGAGAAGCACAACTACCAATAGATATTGAATTCCAAAATCAAGAACAAAATTTCAATCCAATTGAAAATTTTGAAGAATCCTTGAATAGAAGGATTAGTGCTTTAAAGGGAATATTTATTGATGCTCAAATCATTAATCATAGAAATATTCAACATGCACAGGAACTTCAAAGGAATCGGCAACAAAATTTGAAGAAAGCTCAAACTTATGAAGTTAATGATATCATTTTATTGTATGACTCTGCCAAACAACATGTGCATGGAGATAAATTTTCAATAAAATGGAATGGACCTTTTTGGATACAATCAAAATTAGGAAACAATACATATTTAATTCGTGATAAATTAGGAAGGATACTCCAGAAGCCAATTCATGCAGAGAAAATGAAACATTACAAACAGAGATATCTTGTAGAACCACATGTTGTAATTGCCTCTTGAATTACACAAAATTAATTTTGTGCAAAAATTTGAAATTTATATATATATGTATTTGGTACTATGGGTAATTTTAATTGAGAACAAAATGAATTTACAACTCACCTCTGAACAACAACAAAAATTAATAGATCTTTATCAAAGTTTCCACCCAACTCCTAATATAAACATACAATTCAATCCTGGCACAATTAAAATAAAAATAAATAGTTGTGAAACTACTGTAATAGTTCCTGAAACAAAAACAAAAAGGAAGCCAATGAGCAAGTACATCGAAGATGCATATGATGCTGAATACGAATTAGACCAAACTGTTAACAATGAGGAGAATTTTGATACTCTTTTAAGATTTACAATCGATCCGAGTAAATCTAATGGTCAGAAAATACAAGCTTATTCCAAAGTTTGGAACCAAGTAACTCAGAAAATAAAAAGGGAAGGAGAAACAACAGACCAGATTAAGAGAAATATCTGGAATCTAATCCAAAGAAATGGAACCCGCTTCTTGAGAATTGCTCAAAAATCCAATAAAGTAACAGAGGTAGTGGGAGAGTTTTTACCTCGAAGATTTGAGCATATTACTCCTACATGGTTAAGTCATATTAAAAATGAAGAGTTTGAAGAGTTTTTAATTAAACTCAAAGCTAGATATAGACAAGAAATAGAGCTTCTCGCAGGAGCTCGAGAGTAAAGGAGGAAATGTTGTAACACCTGAAATTATTATTTTTATCTTTTATTTATTATTATCTTCTTTATTTGTATTATTATTAATTATAGTTA